CTTATGCCAGGAGTCTGCGTATACTCCCAAATTTTTGGCTTGTTATTTTCTTCTTTCTAAAACCATTGCTTCGATAATTGATGATTAATACTGTCTTCATCATCGGTGTCATCTTCAATTATTAATTTTCTTGGACGTTTTTGTACAGGAAACACAATATCGCTGTCCTCACTATCATTATCAAAAGGATCTACCGAATCACTATCCGCAATAATACCACACTTCTCGCCACTATCATCAATATTAGATTTTCTTTTGCTGACATAATAAGTATAAGGGTTGTTTAATTCTTTTAGAGAATTATAACCGAAACGTGTGAACGCAACGAAAGTTTACACTTAATTATAGTAAGAGATTATCGATAACAGTTGAGCCATGAGTCAGACTTGTATTGTTCTCGTTTGTCCCCAATAACATACCACGAGCTAGGCTCGTCATGTTTACGTTTGGCCCGAACGAAGTACCACGAGTCAGACTCGTGCTTATTGCTTAGGGACCAAATTCCTTACCACGAGTCTCACTCGTGATTGTAGGCCAAAGGGTTAAGAACATATTTTTAATTAATAAAAAATTATTTCTTATTAACTACTGTTTGTAGATATATTTGCAAAATAATTAGTTAATTTGCATATAACAAGGACAATATAATTTTATTGCAAGCACAGTTTCAGTTTTTTTTAAAAAGGTTTATTTCGCTTTTTCTGATAATATTGTTTGTTTTTTATTTCACTGAGGATATCCGGTATGTGGCTTATAAGTTGCACGTCGGTGAGTTTAAAGTCTTCATCAACCCATATTCTTTTCAATTTGTTCATAACATCGCCGATTATCCGTTGCTGTGACACATGCTCCTTCAATGTGTGGCCGTTGATAGGAAATTTTGGAATTACCCATTGTTCAAATTCGTCCAGAAGCTCCACAGCACCACGATATTTCAATATTTCTTTCACATACTCTCGATAGACGTTGTACTTGCTTGTATTCTGAATAAAGACCAGCTGCTGATAAGGCTTCAACGGTTTCTCGCTGGGTTTGTATTCCCTGTGCTGAATCAGGAAGAGTGCCAGATCTCTATCATAATTAGATAGCTTCAATCTTGCATGCAATTCCATTACTTCGTGTTCATTTTTTAGCATCGACACGATCAAAGATATAGGCTTCAAACTAATGTTGTTCGACAATGCACGCTTGTAAACGATACGAAAGTTTTCCACGTCGAGCTTCTCGGGTAGACCAATGTGTATCCCACAACCACATTCGAGTAATTTCAAAGTCATTTCTAGGGCAAAATTGCCTGACAGGATCTTATTCCACTCACTCCAAATTCTTTCGCCGGATATCCGTGATAAACCATTAATGTTTTCTTTTATCGCTTTTATTGTAGCTTTATCGTGCTGATCAGAATTTTCCATGATTCTTCCGTAGAAACGGAAGTACCTATGACAACAAATAATACAAATATTTTAGATCACTAGTACAATAAGAAGCATTTAATATTTATTACATACACGATTTAAAATATATTAAAATGTTATTCTTATAATTAAAAATAAAATCTATAATAGCATACCTAAAAATACGAAGGTAATCTTCTTGTATTCTAACACCAGCATCGCCAACAAAAACTACTCTTCTTTTTTGTAAATCGTCATAACCAAAGAAATAATCATGTACTTTGCCATCAAGGTCAAGGAACATAGAATTAATAGTCAAATCTCTCCTATTTGCATCTAGCTTCCAATCCTTTGTAAATTCCACTTCTGCATGTCGTCCATCAGTGACAACATCGATTCTCAGAGTAGTAATTTCAAAGTTTTCTTTATCGTTTATTCTTGCTGTTATCGTACCATGTTTTTCACCCTTTTCATTTATCATTCTAATCTCCTCTTGTGTAAACATGTCTTTCATCTGATCTGGTGTGGCATCTGTAGCAAAATCAAGATCCTTGGGTTGTATACCCATGAGAATGTCACGAACAGCACCACCAGCAATCCTCAACTTATAGTCATACTTCTTGAATAAGTTTTCAAGAGTCTGTAACTCTGGTGTAAAAATGGAATGAAATTCTGGACTGTCGAGTTTCATGATGACAGGATCAACTCTTGACAGTGGTAATGTTGCATTAGCCATTCTAATCTTTTTCCAAACTTCATACGCAGGTTTTGTTGCTTTATATCTTCCTTTCTACAAGCACAATAAAATAATAATTCTTTTCTTATATCAATAATCATAGAAATAATTATTATAATTATTATTTCATACATGTTTTTACTGATATTTTAGAAAATGTCTTGTTAAATCAAATCAAAATCTAACCCTACTTTGAAATTATCTTTTTAAATTGACATCATTGTTTTACTTACAGCAATAACTTTGTAACGAAGGAAATTTGTTGTTTGTCGAATTAGCGTATTCAGCATAATGTGTTGTGCATTAATCAATTTTATACATAAATCTCACATGTTAAAAATTGCAATTAATAACATATAATACAGGAGCTCGCTGGAGCTCATTCGTAACAGTGCTATCTATTGATTAGGTGAAGCAACATTAAGAATGCATTGATGGTAAGTGTACTGCACTAGTCGGTACACTTACCATATGTGCAGTCTATGTTGTTTTAGTTAACCAATAGATGGCATCATGTGCTCCTGTTAACAATTTTATAAAATCTTAGTGATATAGGAGATAAGTAATGCGCTTGCGTCACTAGTCGGCTGTATGGCCAATGGCCAAAGCTTTTACTTTACTCAATAAAAAAAAAAAAAAAAATTCATAAAATCCCGGCTAAAATAAAGCGTTTCTGCCCGTTTCAGCGGGTAATCTGAATTATTCTACATGCTTATTTTCGCTTCTGAGCTATTTTTGACAGTGTTAGAATGCTCGTAAGATACTTAAATAATTAAAACATCTCTTTTCAAATTTTTAGAAAGTTTTTTTTGTTGCAAAATGTTAATTATTAAAGAATTTAAAAAACAATGTTATTTTTAGAATGTCTTAAGGATATCTTATTTAGGACGTTTTTAGAACGTTCTAAGGATGTTTTATTTAGAACGTTTTAGATGTCCTTATATTTATTATATATATAATATATATTAGGGGTACAGATAAATTTTAAAGCGTTTTTTTAAAAATTCAAGATTTTTTTGCAGAAATTTAATAACACATTTAAGTATTTAAATATTCTCCGTTATTATCTATGATCTTACGCCATCTTTCGGGCAGCTTAAGAATTCCGGCAATAAAGAAAGTTTCGTCTTTTGATTTAATAAACTTGGCGCTATATCTGGTGAATAGACCGGGTGCGGTAGAATATCCCAACCAAGCGTCAATAATGTTTCTTTGACTGGTTTAGCGATATGAGACCTAGCGTTGTCATGAAGCAATTTCACCGAACGCAATTCTTTGCCAGTATATGGACGTTTTCGACGGATTTCTTCGTTCAACCTCAATAATTGTCGACTATAGCGATCACCATCAACCGTTTTACGTGGTTGCAAAAGCTCATAATATAGCACACCTTGTATATCCCACCATATACAGAGCATTACCTTTTGGTCGTGGATATTCCGCTTTGGCGTTAATGTGGATGGTTGGCCGGGGTCTACCCATGATTTTTTTCGCTTGGGATTATCGTAATATATCCACTTTTTAGCCTGAAATATTATCACCCGTTACGATTTTCCACAGGAAAGACTTTTCGTGCTGTTTGTTGTACAGATTCAGACGCATTTCGACACGGTTATCTTTGTTCTTTTGGCTCAATTCGTGATACCAACTTTCTCTTTGTGAATCTTTCTCGTCTTCCGTAAATGGATGGAAACGGTTTGTTGCTTTACTCCCAGTTGTGATGCAAGCTCTTTTTGCGTTTGGGACGAATTTTCATCGAGTAATGCTCGCAATTCATCGCCCTTAGTCTTGAGAGGGGCTCCGCTACGTTCACGATCGCTAACGTCGAAATCACCTTTTTTAAACCGTCTGAATTAAAATTGACACGTACTTTTGGATACAATATTGTTTATGGAATTCATAGCGAATGCAGTGCCGAATAAATTCTTTCTCGGTTGCCATTTTCAAGCTGCTGCAATTTTAGGTTATACAAACAATATCGTGAAGTTGGTCGTTATTTTTTATGTTACCATAAACACTATAAAATCGGAAAAGAGCGAGAGAATATTTAAATTTTGAATTACTTTTTTACGTTCTACAAAAAACACTTTAAAATTTATTTGTATCCCTAATATATATAATATATGTTAGTATTATGCTCTTCCGCAGGGTGTAAAAATCTCAATCGCGAGCACCTGAAGTATTTCTGAACAAGTCACTTAGATCGCGCTGAGGTACTCTTAGTTGGTTTCTGAACGGCGTTTGGGTGCTCTCGGGTGTAGTTTCTGAACGCAACCAAAAATTTGAAGCGTATGTGCATAAAATAGTATAGCTTGTAGTACGCTACAGTATACCTTGCTGTTCTGACAGTTGTGTCATATAATTTTCCGTTTTTTTTCTCGGAGGTATGACCACTTTGATATTCGGTATCGGCGTAGGATTATTTATCATCTTGAGCCTTTGGGTGCTAGCCGCGCTGATATTCGTGATATCGCTGCGCGTTGAGAAGAAGATCGGTGCGATTGCTATTCTGCTTGTAAGCGTACTCACGATTATTTTGATTAGTGTGCCGCGCGCATCGGAGAAATCTGTTCTTAAGGAGAACACGGTAATTGTTGACTTTACTGAAAAATTCTACAGCATATTCAATCAATGTTCTATTTTAGTTCTATATTTTTTGTTCTATATTGTTTATTGACGACATCGGTTTTAATCTAATTTTTCAGTCAAAGTATCATTGATTAAAATCATTTTTTAAATATTTAGTGCATTTGTTTTTTGTTCCAACTAGAAAATAATTTATTTATTCAGTAAAAATTGCTGCAAGCGTTGCAGTTTATAAATAGTTCACATTTCCATTGAATTAATTATTAGTATCAGTTATATATAAAATTGAAATAATTATATAAATAGAAAAGTGGTACATACAACATTAACATTCTCATTTATATTTCTAAGTTATGTAACTGAGCTTTTTGTTGCAATGGTTAATTGATGAATCTTTGTTTTGTAGGTTTATGATCGACTCTTTATTTGGCGTATAATACTCTTGATATTGTTACTTATCTCATCCGCAGTTTCCTTTATTGGATATATTAAATTTGGATTAGTGGAAACTGTTAGACCAGTTAGAATATCCAGCTGGGTTTTTTAAGTGGTTCCTCTTTGGTACGTTTTTAATTTTTAATAATTTAATCAAAACATAAATTTAAAAGTTAAATATAACGATACAAAGTATTTTGTAAGAATAAATTTTGTATTATATATAAACTGCATTATCTTCTTTGTCCATAGGTATTTTTACTGTCTGACAAGAGAGCATGAAGAGCATTAATACACTCTAGACTTAATTTATAAGTGTAATGTTTATCCTTTTGCGTAATTATTGATTTTTTAATTCTACTGTATTCTACATTTAGAATTCTACATTTAGAAAAGAGGGAAAATGTTGTGCAGTATAAGGAATTGTATGCCATCTATAGTAAGACGTATTTCATTATTTCGCCAAAATAACAAACGTTATGAGATAAGCAATAACACCGAGTTTGTGAATAAGGTGATGAATGGCACAGTGCCAGTTATAGTCAATTTTCATGCAGATTGGTGCGATCCATGTAAAATATTAACACCTAAATTAATAGAACTTATAGAACCTATGGATAAGGTAGACTTAGCCATAATTGATGTGGAAGAAAATCCTGAACTAGTACACGTCTTTGAAGTGAAAGCTGTACCTGCGGTAATAGCGATTTCAAATGGCCTAGTCGTAGACAAGTTTATTGGCTTAGTCAACAACGAGATGATAGAGAATTTAATACAAAAGTTAACGCACGAAGGACCAATAAATACAGGAAATGAAGAGAACTAAGTCGTAATCATGAGTATTATAAGCTTATCCAATACGTATTTCACGCTTCCATTTTCTCTATCAATGTAATTTCATACTTGTAGAGAAAATGTAATACTTCAAGCTATTTCGTCCGAGATTCAAGGCCTTTATCTAATCGTAATCAGATAAGCATTATGTAGAGCTAAAAATTTTAGATATATATTAATGTTGTAAAATATATATATATATATATAGTTATAACTGAATATAATATATGAAACTAATATATGTGTATTAATACTTACAAATCTAAAATGTCAAGGTTGTATTGAAATATTTCTATTTAGAAATTCTATAATGCAGAGTTTGTTCCGCAGCCTATATCGTCAATCGACCAAAAGAAAATATCGGTTTCTTCCTAAGAGATATAAAAAGATATATAAAAAAAATTAAAGAGAATTTTACTATAAAAATTCTAGAGATAGAAAAACTATTGTGGACACTATTGTAGAATTTGTGAAATGTACGAAGCACTTGTGATATACATCTTTTTAGATGCGACTTTTTCAATATTCTCGAGATGATTATTTATATCTTTACTTAGAAGTTTACACAAATTTAATAAAAGTCACTTTATGATCCTATAATGTGTTGTGTGTGCAATGATAATAAATTTTTAAAATAATTTGAATTGTATTATTATACGATGATATATATACATATATTTTTTCTAATAATTTAATTTTATTAAAAAATAAGAGGGTAAAATATTTGGTGTCTAATTTATATGATAATCTCTGTTGAATTACATAGTTTATATCATAATTTGTCATAATTTTAGCCAATTGATCGAGATAATTATCTTAGTGGCTACTCAATGTAAATCGCGTGTGTATCTTTCTGGCAGTGCAGCCGAGATAAAGTATTATCTAATCAGATTTCTCAGTTTCTCATTTATTGTTGATCGTAAAACAATTGTGTACAATCAATGTATGAAAGTACTGTCCGTTAAAGATATAGTAGGCCAGAGATATAATAAAGATTATTACTTGACGTAACTCTCTGGTGAAAGAGCACCTCGCGTCTTTCGGCAGCAAGCAATACATAAATGTGTTTACCAACAATTAAAAGACTAGCTATAATCTTTTTTTTGTCATCAGTCAGGTGTTTTTTAAGACACCACGATAAGGCAATGCTGTGATTCTGTGGTCACTTGCAAAAAACTATTTTTTTCTTCCTTTTCTATTTGCCAAATATATATAAGTATATATATATTTTTTTTTCTACATGGCAATAAACGAACGAGCTATACTTCGAGTTTACAGAATTTTTGCAAGTAACCCTGTATTCCTTATTATTTAAATAACCAGTATGTACGTCTCGAACTCGTTTATAATATTTATGGTGAAACAAATAAAGCGGAAATTAGTTTACAAAGATTATTTATATATATATATTGTTGCACTCGCGACATATATATATATATATATACACGACGATATATATATATATATATATATATATATATATATATATATATATACGTAGTATATATTCAATTGTTCATAAGTTATACATTCACTAAATTTATTAACAAAACAAACATTTATATTTCCTACATATACATAATTCTTGTTATTATTTCAAAGAACTAGTTATTCTTAAAGATGCATGTATTATGTTACCTTGTTTATGCCATAAGTTAAGAATATTATGTTACCTTGTTTACGCAATAATTAATGATGACTTAAATATTAGTACCTATAGTTTTTTACTGTAAATAAGCAAACTCCTCC